AATTGCGCAGATTATCCCTATTATCAGAAAGACAGAACTCCAAGAAAAAGAAAGTGGGGATTTGCTAGTAACTGCTGATAGGTGGCTAACACTTAGTGTGGGTTCATGTTGATTCTCCTTTTGCTCTTTCAGATATTTCCTAGATTTCAATAGATCTGGGATGCTTGCAGAAAGCAGACATCCTAGTGCCTGGGAAGTGCAGATTCTATATTCACTCCTACATCCTCTGAGAAGCCACGTCTGTAAGCATGCAGATGTTATGGTGGGACATCACAGATCAGGATTTTTTTCCTTCATTTACTACATGATCATTAAAACAGAACAACTATTTTTCTTCTTGAACAAATCATATAGGTGGTGTGTTTAACATTTAACGTTTAATTTTTAGATGCTGTGTTTGGCAGGCCAATAAGATTATGACTTTGAAAAGGTAATTCAGGTATAATTGTATTTGAAAGAGGTTATTTTCGTTTCCCTCACCTCCATAAATCCAAATGTATATGAAGAAGCCAGTTACTCTGCAAACAGCTTTTTGTTGTTGTTGTTAAAGATACAGTTACTGACAGAGGGTAGTTTTCAGCTTCCTGGGGTCCTTTTCTTATTTTGATAGATGGCAGGGCTTTCTCATGAACATATAAAGTACTTTTCATAGGGGTTTTTCTACCAACTACATAGTATTCTTTTAACTGACAGACTCTCTCATAACTCCCAAGACTTAGGATTTGAATTATTACAATGCTACTTTTTCTTTCTTGGTTAAAGGCTTTCTATTCACGTGTGAAAAGCCTGAAGGTACAGGAAAGGCAATAGATTGAACTTTGGAGGTTTTATAAATGCTCTCCAAGTTTTTCCTTTGTCTGTTATCAACCTTTTGATGCCGATGTGGTTCACAGACGTCATCAGCCATTCCCTTGCTCTGTTGCTTTTTTGTTGCATTTTCCAAGACTGTAGGTTGGGAAAGAGGGAGCTGGAAGATTCATCAGTGCGGGAGCACTTATTTTAGCAGAGAACTACTTTCCTTCTTAATCATTGTGCTAGTTGTTTAACTTAATAACATAATAACGACCAGGTGATAATGACATGGTTTTCAAAAGAAAGTAGGAAAAGAGGGAAATTGAGGCAAGCATAAATGAGCTCACTCTAAGTCCTTTATTTAAAACACAAGTCACTATATGGTTAAGGGGTGAGGGAGATTGACTTAAAAGTCCTGGCCAGCCTTAGCTCCTGTTGTTAGGATAAAGTCTCTTTGGCCAAAGGATGTTGTCTCCTAACATTTATAAGTCCTTAATGACATGGTGTAATACTTACCTAATACATGACACCTCTGACCCTCTGGGTCTAAATAAGAATACAGAGGGCTTGAGACACCATTGACTTTGCTGGGGAATATGAGGGGTTATTTTTCAGAGCCAAGATTGGTACTGGGTTGTGAAAGCGTATCCTGTCGCCCACTCAGACGGCCTAGTGGTTCCAGGGGCATCATGGGAACCTTTCTAATCTGTAGTCATTATTTTCCAAAGGACAACAGCAATCTTTTGGGACAGTCCACATCCACATCCTATCCTATAGATAAATGCTTTACCAAAGTCGTTTTACTGCTAAGAATGAAAAACAAGGGTTACCAAATGTCAAAACTAGATTTACACCCCTCATATTGCCAATTAAAATATTTAAGCTTGTAACTAAAGTTGGGATTCTTGAAGAATAAACTTTATCTACAGGTTTATTATCACCAAATGTTCTACATATGAATATATTACCCTGAATCCTGAAGTGAATTTTAAAAAATATATAAAGGGCTTAGTTTTCCTTTGTACCAGTGTATTCCACAGATAACATAGATATTAAATTACATGGTCTCCTCATCTGTTGTTTTGAAAGAAAAATGTAGATTTTGTATTTTATAAGATTTTTTAAAATACAAGCAGCAGTCTCTGGTAAGGTAGTATTCCTGTGCATTTGCATTGTTATAGAATTAAATTATGGATTCTGCCACTCAAAAAAGAATGCTTTATAAATCAAGTAAAATCTCATAACTAAGATGAATGAGTTGTTTTTTTTTTAATTTTATGCTTCCTCATATCCCATGATTTGGTTTTATAGCCCAACTTGATGTAATTTTTCCACTTGCATTTTTATTTTTTCTTTTGCTATTTCTGTGTACTGTTTTTGCTTTGTAAAAATCTCATTAGTTTCTGAAAAAAAGAAGCTTAAGGAAAGTTACTATTTGTAATGGACAGTAATGTAAAATCATAAAGGCATGTTAAAATTTTTTTCTCTCTGGGTTGGCAGAAAATGTGCCAGATACACTGTACTTCCTTTCTTCCTTTGTTCTTTCTCTTTCTTTTATTACAGTAAATGTAAATTTTGCTAAAATTCTGTAATTTTTAGCAAATGCTAAAATCCCCATTAGTCCCCTTTCTTTCCCTTTAACAGATATTCTGTTGTTTGGACTTCGGAATATAAAAGATGTATTTATATGGTTTTTCTGTTGCAGGGCGGTTTCAAATCATATTCCATAGTTACATATACTAATTGTCTTAAATTGCACCCAAGGCAGTCCTGCTCAGCAGCTGCCCGACTTCTTTTCCTCCCTGCTGCTGTGTAACTGCCCCAAACCCTAGGAATTGATGCAATGTCCCTGACTGTGAGTCAGCAGCAAGATGAAAGATAGGCAAAGGGCGGGAGTGAGGTATTTCCACCTGGTCAGAGGGCAGGAGCCCCCGTGCAGCTGCAGCTGCTGGAGGAAAGGCCTGAAATTCAGAAGAGAGGTCAGAGAGAGATTGCGATTTAAGATCTGGACAATTCCAGGGCTGCCTGCAACTTTGGAACACTTCCCTTTCTCTGGGGGAAATGAGATGAGAGAAGAGAACAGGATTTAGGCCTGAGCCTTGGGGAAATCTTTGCTGTTGGGGTCCGGAAGGAGTAGCAGGATGGCTGAAGTAGAAGCATAAACTGCCATGCTATGAAGGAAGTCACCAAGTGCTATGCATCTTCTAGGCTTTGGATTTTTGAGCCAGACAACCTTAGTTATGGTGCTGGAGGGTGAATGGTCTAGGCACTGTAATCCCCGTGGCTGCCATAGCTTTAAGGGAGGTAAAGTAGATGTAGAACAATGTTTACAGTTTTCTTGGGAAAAGACCCCTGAGATTGTGATTTTAGTGTGGGTGAAAATTTCGTTACAGTCCTTATATGTGTTGAAGTTGTATAACTTTTCCTAAGCCCCTTGTATGAATTATTAATAACATTATAATAACATTCCTAACCCTTAGTATGTATAATGTCTTCATTTTCCAGGATTTAACAATAAAATGTAAAGATATATTTGAAGTCAGAATATTATTATATTTTATAAATTATTTTAATTTAGTTAAAAAATAAATTTACCAGTGGAAGCAACAACAGGGCAAATGACAGAAAGCAATAAATTTACTTTCAATTTTTCATACTAGGTTTTAAGTTATACTCTACTTCATGAATGTGTGCAATTACCATGAAAGTATGTGTATGTGTGTATATATATATATATATATATATATATATCTCGGAATTAATGAGGACTCTTCTACAATGCATTCAAATTTGCATTATATCTAGCTCAGTAAGCATTTTGAGTACACACCATGTTCCTCAGTGAAATTGTAGAAATGTCTATATAGAAAGATACTGAAATATGAATGAGTGAATACATATATACCATTTAGAGCAGTAAAATGCATAGGATGTGTTGAATGAAAACTCTTGGTGAACCAACTCATTTCTCTCCTGGGAATTTAGGTAGCCTAGCAACTTGTATTCTTGAGTCCAAACTGAAAAGGTTGCATTTTTTTCTCCCTTCATCTTCCTCCTCAAATAACTTCATGCACTGTAAAGAATGAACATCTGTGGGAAAATGTTTTACTTGCAGTTGTGCTTATCTTAAAAGGCTTATGGTGGAGTTAGTAATCCAAACAAGATAGTTGTTAGTTGCTTCATGTAAGGGTCATAGTTCAGTACAGTGGTAGGGCATATTAAGACATTGTAATAAACAACTTGTCCTACCACATAATTGGCAGCGGAGTCAGCATTTAGGTGACATCAAAGGCATGTGGGATTTTTGTATTTGGTTTTGTTTTTTTTAATTGGGCCCCACTCTGTAGCCTAAATTAGCCTCAAATTCATGGCAGGCCTGCTGCCTCAGTCTCCACAATGCTGGAATTACAGACATGAGCCACTATGCATGGTTCAATGGAATTCAAATAGGAGCCTCTCTTGAAAGTGCTTAAACTATGAATAAAAATGGATGAGAAGCCAATACTTTCATTCCAAGTATCTAACGGACCTGAGGACATTGCTGCTAGAACCTGAGGAGCAATGTGACTGCCAGGCATACAGATTTATCCTCAGATTATCAAAACCTCATTGGATTCCAGGATATTTTTCACATCTTAAGGCTTTGAGGAAATAAAAAGCTTGGGGTCCCAGGTAATAGAGTACAGAATTTATATACTTGCATGTGATTCTTAAATATCCTCCCTGAATTTTCTTAATTAGTTGTACATATGGATCCAGATCCCAGTTCTTAAACAAATGATTTTACATTTCTTATTGAAAGATTTTTATTTAACTTTTAAATTTCTACTTACATTTTATGGCATACCTTTCCTAGTATTTTATGTTCTAAATACAATATGATGCATATCAAAGTAAAACAAAACAGATCCAGTAAGAGAATTCTGGAATTAGACCAACTAGATTTCCATTCCAGTTCATTTTTCCGTGGCTATGTGCCCATAGGCAAGTCACTTCATTTCTCTCAGTCTCAGTTTCTTCGGCTGGGAGAGGAAGATTTAAGAGTATCTCTCAGTTTTTACAGGGCTGGTAGAAAGCAAAGGAGTGACTTCATGGATAGTGCTTGCGACTGTGGGTTCCTAAGAGTTCCGAAAGGTTCTAGTATGTCTTTAGTCATATCACAATTTTAGATATACTAAACAAAAGTTTGTCTCAATTTTTGCTATAAGGGTCGGTGCACTCGAGAGAACTGCAAGTACCTCCACCCTCCACCCCACTTAAAGTCGCAGCTGGAAATTAATGGGAGGAACAATCTGATTCAACAGAAGACTGCCGCAGCCATGTTCGCCCAGCAGATGCAGCTTATGCTCCAAAACGCTCAGATGTCATCTCTTGTAAGTTATGGCAGAGTCTTTGAAAACTGCCAGTGCATGTGGAGTATGCGAGTAGCTGTATGACTGTTTTGCTAATGCTGGGTGCTGTTGCTCACCAGCTCCACGGCTGTTGTCAAAACATATATGCTTACATTGGAATACCTCTGCAGGGTCTTTGGGAAGTTAAGTACTACAAAATTGAGGGCAATTCTTGTGTGCTACTTAGCAGTTCAGAGCTGTTCATATGAAGGAAGCAATCAGGTGTGTTGGATTAAAAACTTGGTCACATTTATAGAGGGTTTGAGTTTCTAAAAGTACATTAAAAGAAAAGGAGCATTGTAAAATGAGGAGAGTGATTATTACACTGAAACTTTTGACTTGTAGGACATTAATTCAAACAAATTTCTCTTATTAGGAAAGTTTGTTATTTGTTACTTTGTTGTTAGTTTTGCAGTGAACTTTTACTGTGGCCTCAAACACAACATCCTCCTGCCTCAGCCTCTTAAACAAACACTGGGATTCATAAGCATGTGCCACAACACCTAGTTTTGTGATTACTTTTAAATAAATTCTCTTTTATAATAATTTCAGATTAGAAAAATTCCAAAAACAGGCCGGGCGGTGGTGGCGCATGCCTTTAATCCCAGCACTCGGTAGGCAGAGGCAGGCGGATCTCTGTGAGTTCAAGGCCAGCCTGGTCTTCAAAGCAAGTTCCAGGAAAGGCGCAAAGCTACACAGAGAAACCCTGTCTCGAAAAACCAAAAAAAGAAAAAAAAAAGAAAAATTCCAAAAACATGGCAGGGAATCTCCTGTTTTGTTTCTTACCCAGACTTCTTTCTTTCTTATTTTTTGTGAGGTGCTAGAGATTGAACTCAGGAATTTGAACAGGGTAGGCAGTAGCTCTACCACTGAGCTGTACATTTATCCTTACACTTAGATTTTCAACAATGAGGGTAATGAAATCTAAGGCCTTATGCATGCTATACAAGCACAATACTACTAGGCTGTAGTTCCCTCACACAATGTTAATATTTTATGTTACCATTATAGATGTATCAGAACCAAGAAGCTGGTATCCAAGTATTATTATATACACTCTAAGTTTTATTCAGACTTCACCAGGTTTTCCATTAACGTGATCTTTCTATTTCAGTGTCCAATCTAGTAGCAGCATGGTGCATTTATTTGAATTGTTCCCCTTCTGTCCTGTGGTCTGTGACCATTTCTCAGTTGTTTCCTATTTCCTATGAGCTTGACATTCAAAAATGTAATTAAACTCTATCTATTCATATTATGCTTTTGAGAATTAATCTTATCCTAACACCTTAAAATACAAATTTGTGTTTTAGTCTGGCACCTCTCCGTGGAAATTGAAAACTGTCCCCTCTCTGCTATAGTTCTTCACATCTCTGATTTAACTCAGTGGTTCCTCATTCAAATTCTAGCTAGCATGCTTCCTTTTACCCACGAACAAGACCAATTTGAAAAGACTGCTTCCTTTGTTACCTGTTCATCAGGGACTGGGGCTGAAAGTTGAAAGTGGTCTGTAGCATTTAGATGCAGTGAAAATATGGGAGTGGGACAATCTGCTGTCAGGAAAGCTTATCTCATTACAAAATGGATTCTCAGATTTCAAGGAGCAGCATGTTGATATGGTCTTCTAACTAGCACATCTGTTTACTAAGTCCAACCACAGGAGGCTATTGAGTACTTGTTGTTCTTTATGATACTCTGTCTCCAGAATATCTAGACAGATTAAGGTAAGATATATTTCATGGTCTGCATCATCCATTTGCCAAATATGTTTGCCTTCTAACTCAGTGATGACGATTGCGTTGATCAATTAATCCTCATGTAACCAATGAGCTCTTTAGAGATCACTTGACCTTCAGTAATACTTTACATGGTCCAAGTACTTGAACTCTTCTGGGCTCTTATGTGATGAAGGTGTATGGGAAGATACTGGGAATAATGTTCACACAGAAAAGTAAATGTGTTGTGAACCCAGAAAATGTGAGTACATGGGAATAAACCAAAGGAATTTTTACTATTTTTCTACTTTATTGTGGTATCATTGACAAAGTATATATACTTAATGTATAAATGTGATTATTTATACATATAATACGTATTGCCTTATTTATAAAATGAGACAACATGAATCAACCTAAAGGATATTATGCCATGCGGGAGATCAGATTGAGAATGACAAATACTGAATGGTTTCACTTATATGTAGAATCTCAAAAGTGTTGAATTCATAGAAACAGAGAATAGATTATTGATAGAAGCTTTGGGAGGGGTTTGGGGTGGTGGTCAAAGTTTGACTATGACAAAGAAATATTTAATTCACCATTACTATTCTCAGCCACTTATGGGAATGAGCAAGGAATGGAGCAAAATTTTACTAACATTTGAGCCCATTATATCCTATAGTGCCAGAGCAGATATTTTTTTCAAAGGTACAGCTTTAGAGCACCAGTCAAATGCCCTGTTGCGTGGAATCAGAGAGCCAGGCATAGGACAAAGTAGGGGTAAGAAAGAAAGACAGCCAGATGGTGGTGGCACACGCCTTTGGTCCCAGCACTCAGGAGGCAGAGGCAGGTGGATGGATCTCAATGAATTCAAAGCCAGCCTAGTCTACAGAGTGAGTTCAGGACAGCCAGGGCTGCTGTACAGAGAAACCCTGTCTCAAAAAAAACCAAAGGAAAAGAAAAAAAAGAAAGAGAAAGAAAGGGAGAGAGAGAGAGAGAGAGAGAGAGAGAGAGAGAGAGAGAGAGAGAGAGAGA